TGGCCTCTCTTGAAGCCAACACCCCTCTGGTGATGCGGCTGCTTAAGGGGAACCTTTCCCTGGAAGAAGTTCTCCCGGTGTCTCACACCAACGTCGAGGTGGAAGTGGCACAGCCACCGCTGGACAAGCAGTCAGGAGGCCTCTCCCTGCAAGTGGAGAGAGGCAGGGCTTGCTACTTTGGCAAAGAACCTTCACAAGGTAAAGAAACAAAGACAAGTGCCCGAAGCAGGAGCGATGGCTTCCACTCAAGATTTTCTGTAGATCCCCAGGAGAAGTGTGGGGCGGGGGCAGCGTTGCCTAGAGCAGAGGATGGGGAGGATCACTCTATTCCAGAAAAGCATTCCAAAGTTGGCTCGGCTTTAAACTGCGACGAGCAGCTGGCAAATGTGGCAAGTGCCTCTCAGAAGCCTGAAGATGTGGGTCCTCAGGAAAGAACGTTTTCTTCCTGTAGCTTTGAGGAGCAGAAGGAGCTGCCCAAGGGCCATCAGGTGCCACAGCACAACCTGCTGACAAGCGTCGTCACAAGTAAAAGTCCGGAGAAGTCCGATGCCTCCACGGAGCCTCGGTTTTTATCCCCAACTTCTCTTGGTCCAAATCAGACAGGGGGTGCCTCGGCCAGTAAAAACTATGTTGGAGTTCAAGGCAAAAAACTCTTTGGTTCTGCTTTTCCTTGCAACCCCAGCGTCCGGCTGCATCACTCCAGGGCTTTGGATCAAGTTTCAGCCGTGGGAACCTTGTCCCCCAGCAAACTGATTCCTCTGGACAAGAGCTGCGTGCCGGGAGAGGGAGCGCCAGCCGCCAGGGATGGGTGGACTTCCAAACAGCACCCTGGCACCCTGGCAGGAATCGAGAAAGTGTCAGCATGCGGCAACCCAGCCAAGAGTGACACGGAGAACCGGCAGGACGCTGCGCAAAACCCCGCCGAGCTGACAGAGCAAAGCATTCCGCTGGGCGTGGACTTGCCATTTTTTAAGCTCTCAAGGGAAGCAGGAAAAGGACACAATCACCCTTTGGAGCCTTCTTCCATCCCCTCCCAGCTCAATATCAAGCAAGCGTTTTATGGGAAGCTTTCTAAGCTGCAGCTTAATTCCACCGGCTTTAATTATTCATCCAACACTCCAGCTTTTCCCAGAAGCTTTGCTGGAAGCGTGATGCAGCTCGCCCACAAAGCGAACTTTGCTGCGAGCCGTAACGCAGCCCTGTCCGTGCAGATGTTCGCCGACGGCGGCAGCGTCGATGAGATCTCGTTCAAGTGCTCGTGCAGCCTTAAAGCCATGATCATGTGTAAAGGCTGCGGAGCCTTCTGTCACGACGACTGTATAGGACCCTCCAAGCTCTGTGTATTGTGCCTTGTGGTGAGATAATAAATCATGGCCATGGGACAAGGTGTATATTCGGTGTGTGTATTTTGATAACGACTGATCCTAAAGCCTGTACACAAAATACTCTCCTGTTTATGGTAGAAACGCTATTACACGGTGTTTTGGTGAGGAAAGTTGACTTGCCTTCCCACTGAAATCTACAACGCAAAACCCTTTCTCGCTCACGACCGCACTCGGGGCGCGGGGGGGTTGCACCTCACAGGAGCGACCCTTTTGCACCGTCGTGGAAACGCTGCTCGTGCTCTGGCACGCGAGGCCGACGCTGGAGTGAGAGGCAGTTTGCTGTGGCAATCCATGGACCCTCTGTCGAGGAAATCTTTTACATCCAAAGGAACTGGAACAGGGTGTTTTCTATTTCAGGGCTGCGCTAGGCGGGGCCCTACAGTCTTCCACTCTCCCCTCCTGCCATCTCTACTCTCGGTTTGTGCGGGAAGTCCTGCCAGGCACGGCACGGCGCCGCACCGATGGTTCTGGACGCTGCAGCAGAATGCGGAGCCACGCGTGGGTGCAGCCAACTCGTGGGATGCAAGAAGAATTAAAAACAAACACCAAGTGGCAGGTGCCACCCGGATGCCTTCTGCTGGTCTGCAGGAAGACCCATGGCCCGGGGACCTCAGCCTGGCCGAGCTGTGGGACCGGCTGCCGGGGCTCCGCCGCCCCCCG